TCAGACTGTGTATCCAGACCCGCGTAATTCACTTTAGAATTTATCTCACTCACTAGTTTTTCACAGGAATATTTTGGACAAATTTTTCTGTGCGCGCACTCTTTCAACCAAAACTTAATGAAGTGACAACATGGCGTTCTCAAAAGTCACGAGATGTGAGTAACAGTGTTGCTAGCATAATATATAATTGCGATATGGTAGAATTTCTTTTCGGGAGCGTTTAAAACACCGTTATCTACCTGGAGTTATTCACAGGAATGATATTTGGGATTTTATTATAAACAGTAATTAAATAATTATAGACATAATAAATTAACGATTACATGAATGAAAACAATAATTAAGTCACCAGTTTTTACTTAACAGTATATAATATTGCTAAAAATTGCCTAGTATTGATTATTTTATAATATGTAAATTTTCATTACGCAATAGGACACTTTCATTTTGTATGGACGTGAAATTAGTGACTTTAGTTTGCTAATATTTTTTTCGGTATAGTTATATTCTAAACATAACTAAAATGGCTTGTTTTCCTGTAAATTAATTGTCCTTTAAAACAAAATTGGTTATAACTTGATATGACCCGAACTAATCTTTATATAAGCTGAAAACGGTCGAGGACACATATTTTTTAAAGTCATGTACGATTATTTTGACCTCTACCCAAGTACGATCATTTTGCGTATATGATTGCTTCCAAAATCAGGAAAATTGAAAATATGTATAATAGAGAAATATTGATGAACTCGATACAAAGTTTAACATTAGAATTTTACATGAAAGACACAAAAAACCCCAGCTCTAAATACATAAATACACAGCCAAGCAGTTCACCTATGTATATGCATTACAGCTCAAGTCCATTGGACCAACATGCACAAAGGTCGGTAATACGAGGGCGGTACTGAAAATTTCAGGAATCGAGGAAGTGACACAACATTACTATTTTAAAATGTATTTATTGGTTTTCGAAGTATTCTCCGCGAAATTTGACACATTTTTTCATACGATGGAACCAATCATTGAAGCAACCATTTCTACTTCAGGTGATGAAAATCTCTGTCTACGCAATTTATTCTTTATTTTAGGGAAAGTATAGAAATCATTAGGGCTTAGGTCGAGGCTGTACGACGGATGGTCTGATAATTCTATGTTTTCTTGCTCTAAAAACTCTTTTGTTCTGTGTGCGGTGTGAGAACTCGCATTGTCGTGATGGAGGATGATGCGGCGGTTGCAGTTCTCTTTACGGAGTTCAGAAACGACCTGTGGCAAACAGCTAGCATACCATTCTGCATTAACCGTACTTTATCCCTCAAGAGGAATAGTCGTAACGTGGCTGGTTTTGGAGACAAACGTGGCCACCATTTTTTTTGCAACACTCCGTGAACGAAAAATTTTTGTTGGCTTTAACTCATTTTCGAACACCCAAACTCGTGACTGGTTTTTTGTTTCGGGTTCGTACGCATATATCCAGGATTCGTCACCTGATACGCTGTTATATACAGCATTTGAGGATCCTGCGTGGAATCTTTCGAGAGTTCTGACGCACCAAGTAACGTGAGCCGCTTTTTGATCTTCACAGAGCGAATGCGGTATCCATCGGGAAAACAACTTTTTTACACCTAATTGTTCATGCAAGATTATTTATATTTGACTCATGCCAATGTCTGAAGTTGCCTGAATTTTGCGGTATGTCACATGTCGATCTTCCTCAATCAGCTTACGCACAGCATCAACGTTTTCTTGGGTGACTGGAGTTTTTAGACGTCCTTGACGGGGATCATTACTGAACTTGACACGTCCACGTTGAAATTCGCAAACCAGCGATAAATTGTGGTTTTGTATGGAGCTTCATCACCAAATGCAGAAATCATCCGGTCAACACAATGTTTTTGTGTTAAACCACTTCGAAAGTCATAATAAATCATCGCTCTTGAATTTTCTCGAGTCAATTCCATTTTCTCAACGACTAAACAAGTTTGAAAAAACCTTGTGACAAGACCGAGAATCTTTTTTAAATAAATAAAAGGTATTCGATTTTTAAAACCAAGGAGTTTTCAATTGAAAAGATTTTAATTAGACAGGAACAGTGAAAATATTCCATTCCCGATACTTTTAGTGCAGCCTAGTATATGCACAACCTAGTATTATTATTTATCTATCTCCACAAGCTAATGAATTTATTGAAATTATGGACAGCGACTCGTCATTTCAATCATATACGTACAATAGTGATGAAGCACGAAATAACGAAACAATAAAATCTTTTCCAGTTGTTGAGTTAAGCCATGAACAGCACTCTGAAAGGATACCAGCTCAAACCTTGCCATCATCTTTGCCTTCTCGATCACAAGTTATTCAAGGCACAAAATTATACTATGTCCATATAATTATTCCTTCAAAAACACAGAAGGCATAAAAGGTGATGGTCTAAAACTATCACTGCACCATTCTTGACACTAATTAGATTTCTTAAGTTTCCTGTATTTAATTTTGCCATAAAATAAATGATTGATTCGTATTGTGTACTTGGTAGTATTTGCTTACCTTGATGATATTTTTTAAAGTTGCATTAATTGCAGAACAGACTTCCCGAATAATTTTAGAAAAAACTTGATGGGATATTTTAAATAAAAAGTGTAAACTTCTAAAACTGTCTCCTGTAGAACCGAAGAGTTATTGACAGACGAACTTTTGCAGGAATGACCTTTAAAAATTTAGTGTCTCTTGGATATTAGCGGTTGAACTTTTATCAGGACTTCAATCAGTGACCGACATCTGTACAAAGTTATAAAATTCGAAGGCGGATTCAACCATAAGATCTGAAAAGAACTTCTAGGATGTTTTCCTGAAAAAGACGAATCCTGTTAACACGGACAAACAGACACTATTTGTGGTGTACAGAACAAGTGGTAAAATTAAGAATTATGTACAACCGACTTCAATATAAATAAAATGAGAACATCATCAATGTAATCGGAGCCAATTAAATACGCATTATTAGGGATAACTCAAAAACTACTGGTTATATCTTGATCAATTTTTTAAAGAACCTCATGAGAAGTACCAGCTTTCAAATAAAACAAGAATAAATAAAAATCGGTTACATATTTAAAAATTCCTCCTTTTCGAAGTCGGTTGAAAAAAAAGGATTCCAGAAAAAATGGTACGGCCGTGCTTGGCCGACTTCGCGGTGACGCTGCCGTACATTACATTTTCTGGACAAAAATACTTACATTGTTCGACGACGGGCCATTTTCATCATCCATCATCGTCTTCAATTTCGATTTAGTTTTTTTTCCAATTATAGACTTATATAATAATTAATAATACTCGTAATATACCAGAGCGGTGGCTTCTACCTCTATTTCAACAGAAATAACTTTTAGTGGAGAACTGGATAACTGTAATGTAGCCAACCGTTTAACGCGTAATTTTTTATGCCTTAACTAACGTGTAGTTTGCTATGGCGTTAACACTAGCGTTAACGCAGGTGAAAGAATATAATGACTGAAGATCATGGCTAGGTTGACACATCTTAGCGTTCCCTGAATGGCAGTCCTATTGGGACAATTTCCCATAAAATAAGTATTTTTTTCAAGTTAGCTATTCGCTTTTTTATGTTAAGAAATGGTCAAATAAAATTATTCATTCTTTCTTTCTTACTTTCATAAAATTATTCGTCTTCTCATTACTTCAAAAAATTATCATTGTCGAAAATACAATCGCAATCAAAATCAAAACTTCAATTTACTTTAACACACCCGCTACGCACGATGTCTGGGCAGACTGATGTGGCCGCACAAGTGAAGTCCATCTCGATAGAACGTTTTGATATGCGAGAGTTTACCGACAGTGAAGCGAATATTCGCGTTATTGCGATGTATGGGGCGTAGTGCAAGGCGAAGGCGTCCCATTTCTTATATGCGCTCACGTCGGACGGGTCGGCATTCCTGCTGCGCGTGTTATTAATACCTTCATATCTATATCGTAAACCTCATATAGAACAATATCATGCTTCATACTGATAATATAATAGCTCTTTTCTGAGCTGACTTTTTTATGTTTCACGAGACGTCGAGTGTGGCTACATAGTTTAATTATATTACTACATAAGGATATATTTATTAATTTTTTCGTTACTATAATCCATAGCAGTTTCAAATAAAACAAATTAGAAGAAAATTCAAATATAGAAAAAATAAACAATCAACGAAACAACCCGATATTAGTTTCACATTTGTGTTGATTTGTCGCAATATGTATTTATAACAGTGCCTTCATTTAATCGTCACTTTCTCGTGTTGTGTATGATTTAGTTGTCGAGCGCACTGTGAAACCTTATTTATAATAATGTTTGTGAATACGGGTGTAGGTTACGTAAAGGACACTAGATATTATGGAGAGGCGCTGCCCTCCGTACCCCTTTCTATCTTCCTATTCATGACAGCAGCCTTATGCTGCTATTTTGTACTGGTCTGGTTTAACCTGGCCCACGTTGTGGGACAGTCGTAATTTATATAGTGAATAAAATACTTTTTTTTTATATCCCTTCTCCCCTGAACCTTCATCCCTGAATATAAGCCTTCAAAAACTGCAATAAAACAACAGTCCTTAGTCACTTACATTCGTTAACTTTCTGCATGTTTTACCAGGTGGTCACTCCAACCGGTGGGAGCTGCCTTAGTTCTATACCAGTACAAGATTGCATGACTCTCTTAGAACCCCTATCGGTTGTCGGTTCTTCGAGCTATATGGCGGCCCATTACCACTAGCTTACTGATCTGCTGGACTATTGGCCGAATCTCAAACGCTACTCAATTTTAAGATGTCGGTTAAGTATCGTGGTGTTAGTCATTTTGACTTAGTGATGGATACAGTATGAGACTAAACTGCATTCTAAAATTGAGTAGTTTCAGTATTTTGGGATATGTTGATTACTCTACTGTGGTTCTATTGCTAATATCCTCATTACAATTTCATTGTTAATTTTACAGATAAAAAAACTACGCGAAGCCTTGGGCATGAAGGAGATTGCCAGTTACTACATAAAAACATTGTTCCTATGGAAAATTGAGAGAGTTAACGACAAAAAGTACTGGCAAAACAAACTCAGTGTGATATTTCGCTCTATGGTCGAGGATTTATACAACGCGATAAAGGCCAAAAACATTCCATACTTTTGGAATGAGAAAAACAACCTCATAGGAAACCTGAAGCCGACGCATCAAAAGGTGTATATGGATAAGTTGAAAGTAGTTCTAGACAGCATCGATGCAAACGACGTCAATAAAACAGTCGTTTCCCTGCTAACCGATGTAGAAATGGAACAATTCAAATGTTCCGAGTTTTATCTGAGACAGTTAGCGTTGACCAATATCGAGCTGCCAGTACTTAAAAATGAAAGTATATGTTCTACAAGCAGCAGCAGTCAAGAGTTTCGGACGAATTCCCAAACCAGTTCTCAAGAGGAACAACATACAGCTGTTATAAGAGCTCTTATGGAGAAGATAGATTTGCTGACTCAAAAAGTGAATGATCAGGAAGGCAGAATAAATAAATTGGAGGAGATGGTTGCTTGTAAAGAATCGACTGACACTAACCCACTTGATTATACTGTAAAAGAACAAAAAGTATTTGATAAGTCAGGCGACCGGTCGACAAAAAATTAAAACGTTATTGATATTGTGTTGAATAATGAGAACTCTTGTAATTCAAACGCACTGCCAGAAGTCGACAACAGTGTTTATTGTGATATATAAAAGAGAGAGAGAGAGAGAAAGTAGAGTAGCAGAGTAGCCAGCCTCTCAGTGCTCTATAGGATGCATTTCGGCGATTGAGCACAGGAATTTCATGCTTTAACGAACAATATCGGTGGGTCTTCACCATTTTGTTGCCGATATTTCACGCATTAGAACCAAACAGTTTGCTTTGCTTTTGTAATGCGTACAGCAAAGGAGTGGAATAATTTGCCAGCGTCTATCTTTCCATCCGAATACAGTCTGAATAGGCTTACGTTACGCAAAAAAAATTGCGATTTACCATCTGGGGCTACATCGCCACTTACCACCAGGTGAAATTTGGTTAAGCACTGGCTTAGAAAAAAAAAAGATTTTATCATATAGGCGATGGAGGATTATTTAGTTAAGAGCCAAACCTATATGTGTAAAAAATATGTCGACCACAAATTTTGAGATCCGAACTGGGGCAGTGCCCGCCGCACCACTCGTAACTGCTCCATAACCCTCTCAATATTAAGAAACGATAAATTGTATAACTTACCTGGCGATTTTTCGCGTGCTAACCGGGAAAGATGAAAGTTAAGTATCCATCGCTTAATTAAAATTTTTTGATTGACTTCGATTGCTGAATTCAATTACATGCTCAGTAGTTAAGGTGAGGAAGCTGCATGACATATTATGAAAATTACTAAAGCAATTTGGTGGACTATGTGTATGATCTCAAAGAAAATATTATAACTAGGTGGCAGGATTTCTGCCTGGGAACCTATTTTTGTTGTTGCTGTACGAACCAGAGAGCCAGTACAGGCTGTGAAAAATTCGATCTAAACCTGAGAGGTGACATGGTATTCAGATTTTCGCATTTATAGCGTTCTGTATTTGAAATTTGTTATTTGTGTCCACAGGATGCGGTAGCTACTTACTATCAGGTGGACAGTTAGGTTATTAGTTACTGACTTATTAAGGATGACCAAAAATACGCTTTGTGTTAAGACTAAGATGGATTTACCATCGGCTAGTTATATTTTAAATAAAAAATATTTTTAAATATAATTCCTAATTTTATATAGAACATCACAATATTTATTCAGTATGTACCTGTATCTTAAAACTTTGTACTCATCAAAATATATTTTCTCAAATTTTAATAAAAAAAGTTTAAAGATCAGAGTTTTAATTAAAGCCTACAGTCAAACCACTTTGGTGATCCCATCTGTTCGTACAAGAATATGGCATACTTATACAAAGTGAAGGTTATTGTGGGTTTGTGTCATTCCTTCTGGAAGGTCTTTTGAAGGATTGTAATAATGATAACGATATGATGATGATGAAATGTGTCTCTATTTGTTGCTTGTGATTGGCGCACGGCTTAAAGTTGTTTATTGTACTTGATGGTGACACTTAAATTCATAGTATTTCATTCATTCTATCGTAGTGGCAATGTTGTTTTACGGGACTATTTCCATATGGGCTTTAAGCGACGAACTGCTCCAAGTGTTGTGAGATCTAAATAGATAGCCGGTTAGATCCACGTATAAGATTATGTACTTATTAATAGTTTAAATTCAATTAAAAGGCCGGCAATGCAACTTCAATTCCCTTGGTCTTTTTCCTACTGTCAAGTAAATGTTTGCGCCCATCTATAAAAAAAGATATACCTAAAAAGACCCGAAAATATATTACAAATTTATAAAAAGGAAAATTGAAGTATTTCATAGGGTAGCCAAACGTCTTGGATTCTGCGGTCTATCGCGAATTTGTAATTGAACTTCTGTAATGTAATACTAAAACAGTCCCCCAAAAAGTGTAGTCTCAAAGCGCAAAGATTGTAAGTAAGCTGTAAGCTTATTAGCCCGTCCGGTGGCGGTTTTTTGGCCCGCGACAAAGGGTCTGCTAAGCGTAAACTGTAAAAGTCTGTGAGACGCAGTGACAAGCGGACCTCATGAATATCGAATGGAGTAATGATCGGGAGCTAACGTTCCTTGAATGGCACCATAAAAAAAAGAAGAAAAGGGGCTACTTAATGTCCAGCTACAGAACATATAGAAAAAAGTTAAAGATTCTATCCATAGTGATGCCAGCTCAGATGAAATTTATAAAGCTATAATGGTTCGCCTATGAAACCATGAATTCATTTCTTGGAGGAGTGGCATGTAATAAAACAATAAATACTGTATGTTTTATTTGGTAGGTAATAAAAAAAAATCAATAAGATCTTATGGACCACGCTCTCGTACCAGCGTGTAGTAGCTTGCTGCTTTTCGGTGGGTGTTTCTTGGACCTATTTATTGTCTACACATATCTATCTGCCTACTTACAAAATACTTTGTAAACTCGTCTCTTATGTCACGGGCATTAAGAGCCGATCGGCGAGCTGTAATTGGAATATTGCGAACAGCACAAATTTTGTAACAAGAATCCCAAACGTATTTTCTACTACAACCCGTGACCTTGACAGATTCTGATTAAAAATACGTTTTGGTGATCCCGAATCATTATACCCGGATAAGATTTCATTAAATATGTTGACAGTGCAAAAGCACCATCTTCTAAAATTACATAGGGTACATCTTTGTTTGAACCAGGCAAGGGATGTGGTGTAGGCAAGTTTAATGTATTCAGGCAATTTTTTTCCATAGTAAACTATTTTTAAAAACTCCGCCATCGCTAATTCTGCCCCGACATCCTATATCTGCAAATATAATTTTATAATTGCTGTCGACTAAAGCTAACAATACTATGCTTGAAATTTTCCGATCTTGCTTCTGGTGGGCATTCAATAACAATATGTTTTCCATCAATTACACTAAGAGCTCGGGGAAATTTAAAACTATTTTCAATATCAAGCCACTCTTCTGCGCACGTCGGTATCTGTAAAAAAATTTCTTTCATTTATTCAAGTTTACGTTAGTAAACAGTTAAATACGTTTATATTACCGACTTATTACTAACACGTTACTTGTCTTGCCTAATAATCGTATTTTTTTAATTTATTGAATTTTCTTATATTTCAGGAAGAATCAGCAAACAATGAACAAATAATGTCTAAAACGATTCGTCGCCGTAAAAACCCCTCTGGGCTTTTGATTGCTGGAGAAACAGTTAAGGATTGTCTTTCGACACTCAAAACCACATTGAGCGCCCAGCAACCCCATGAAGGTGATTTTTGAATTTTAATAACTAATAAGTACTTAAAACACTTTCGTAATAAAAACTTTTGATTATTATGCATTTTTATTATATTTAATTATATATAATTTCCGTCTTCAGTACTTGATTTAAATCAACTTGTCACACTTCGGGTATTATCTGCGATATTAATTGAGGTGAAACTTTAAACAAAAAGTGTAAACTTACTAGGCTGCCTCCAGTTGCAAAAATCGTAATGTAATGGCGAGGCGTGTTCTAGCAGAGATTGCTTTTCGTAACTGAGTATCTTGCTTAGCTATCAGTGGAAAAACTTCACTTAATAACTTTTTGAAATCTATGAGAGACTTTCTTGTAAACATTTTGAATTCACCAGAAGGTTCGCCTACTAACTCGGCAAGCTGCTTTTCCAGAATCGTACTGAAATAAATAATTGTGAATAAATATATTTTACTAGAGCACACCCACACAACTCAAAGTTTTTGCTATTGGTTTAATAGATTTAAAATAAATATCAAAAAAACTTGCCTGCCTCTGTTGCGATGGATTTGTGTCGTCCACCACCTCTTTCTCCTACATTTCTTTTTTGTTTTTTTTTTTTTTGATTTTATAAGCGCATAATTGTATCACGCTAAAGCGCACAGTGTCAGAGCAGCAGCAACTTCAACGTTCATTTCAGTTAAATGCGTCAACGTAAATGCGAAAGGTTGCGAGTGTAGAGGGCTATGTTTTTCGCGTCGTGTTCACGTGCGAACCGCGGCCGAAAGTAGAGCCCACATAACATGAGACTTGCGAGGACCGTGTACAGCGTAAGACTACGCGCTCTACTATACAGGTTATTACAATAGTCTTGTTTGGCGTATGGACTGGATTTTTTGGGGGCGATGGGAGGTCATACGCTACATTTCCTCGGTAGGCCCAATGTCCTAAGTGTCATTGTAGCTGAGATATGATCTTTATAGGTTTTTGGAAAATCACCCGAAATCTTTAAATCGTCATAACTTTAAAAAGTACAAGAAATTGAAATTTAAGTGACATGAAATTTTTAAAGATAATGCTATTTAAGTAACCACCACCAGCTTTTACCACGAGCAACTTGTCAGCGTGTTTTTCAAAATCAGCACTCAACAGATTTTGAAAAACACGTTGACAAATTGCTCGTGAAATGGCGTTAATTTCTTGCACAATGTTTTGCTTTAACTTTTCAACTGTTATTGAATTATTTTCGTGTACTCTTGTTTTTAGGTAACCCTACAAAAAATAATCATTAGGAGAAAGATCTGATCTGGATATAAGTTTTTCTGGAAACATTTCTTTCGGTACGTCTACTGAGACTGTTGAAGTGTGGTACGTGGCTCCATCCTGTTGATACCGCGTCCTAGAATTGAAACCCTGAAATTCTTGAGGAGCTGGAACCAGAAGCTCTTGCAACATCTGACAATAATTCTCAGATCTCACTGTTGCAGCAACTCCTCTTTGGTTTTCAAAAAGTATGGCCCAATTATTCCACTAGCCGATATTCCAGCCCACACAATGACCTTAGGGCTATGAAGAGGTCTTTGATGCATCTCGCGGGATTAGATTCGGACCAAAACCGGCAACTTTGCTTATTAACATGACCGTTGACATGAAAGTATGCCTCATCACTGAAGATTATGTTGGAAAAATTGTTAAAACGTTCCAGCATAACATCAGCAAAATTAAGTCAAAGATTAACATCATTAGGCTTCAACTCTTGTGTCAATTTAATGTTATACCCTTTTAAATGCAAATTACGGTGGGCA